TCCTGCTTTTATAGCAACTCCCATGCAACTACCTATTTCAATGAAATACTGTAATAATGAAGGCACACAATCTAAATTTTAAGAAAACTTGTTTGTTTTTTCAAATCTGGCCAATGCTGGAAAAGTAGACACTTGCTGCCAACTTTCATTTGCACCTACTTTAGCACATGTAAACATGACTACACATATAAATTACCTTAGCTGGATGCTTGCACAGCAAATCACCCTGTTTCTACATGTAGTCTCAGGACTCACATGCATAATGCACCTTTCCTTTCTTTAACATTGCAAACTTTGCATTCAATCAACCCTCATTTCCCCTGTTCCCTGCACTCTCTGACTACCTGTCCCTAAGTAGAGCTACTCCTTATATATTTTTTCACATTTGCAATATAGTGCCATAGATCGAGGAGCTTTCCTCTTCCATACTCTGCATATTAATGCACAAATTGCTTGAAAAGGGTTACCATGATATGTGATAATAACACACTTCACCATTTCAATGCCTTGCTCCATTCAGACCTTGCAAATGGAAGCTTGGCCCTTTATCTGATCTCTCATTCCCTGCTTAGCTCTCCAGATGTTAGGTGAAAAGTCCTATAACTATACCTCTGTATCTCATTTGCAAATGAAGTTAAAAGCAGATGCAAAATAGAAGCCTGCCATTCTTGAAGCATCACCTTCCAAAGTAGGACTGAATGGAAACACTGTTCAAATGGGTAGGGCCAAAATTAGCACTAGAAGTGCATAACAAATTAATAGGAAATCAGTTACAAAAACATATAGATGCACCTAAAAGCTTTTTGAAAGGAAAAGAAAGAACAGATTTTTTTGGTCTCAAATCCATGATGCCTATTTAGAAATGTCAGGCATTCCTACACTGATCAGGGAACATCCAGAAAGGTGCTGAGGATCTGTTGATGATGACTCTGCCCCCAATTCCAGGTCATGTCAATGAGAATCGAGTTTGCTGAAAATGTTCTAGGATGTGATCAAATGAGCACCCCAAGGACTCAGGACCTTAACCCTGCCTTATCTCCATGTGGTACAGCTATAATCATTTTTAGGACAAGAGGGATCAGGTAGCTTATAACTTTTGTTTAATTATCAAGAAGCAAACTGTGCCCTTCTCGATATTGAGTGCTAGTTCCTTCATCAATATCTGGAAACCAAAATTGATCTGCAATCTACTATCCTAGGCTATTAAATCTGACATATAATAAACAGTTCTCTCTATCACGCTCCTACCCCCACCCAATGAAAAAGAAAGAACAAACAAAATCGAGAAACCTGCATGGGAAAAATCAACTGGAATGTGCAAGGTATAATTTAAACCTGCTATTTTGCTATAGTTTAAATCTGTATCATTCCAAGCTTGCAAAGATATCAAACGTCGAGGAGTTCTACCAACTGCCTCTGTGCTATGGAGGGTGGCACAGCTTATCGAGTACATTCAGAACATGCAAGAAACATTATTATGAGGTTGCGGCAGCCAGGGCCCAATACTGGTACCTGGGGCCAGGCCATAGAGACGTGACCTGATCCAGAAAGAGCAGGGCCCAATGCAGGTTGCACAGGGCTAGGGTGGACTAGGGCCTGATCTAAGTGTGCAAAGCCCAACCCTGTGGATACCCACAATAGATCCAGCCTGTGGGGCCAAAAGTTTGAGCATCACTGCTGTAAAGCAAAAACACATGGGAGGTTCATAGGTCAAAAAAAGGCATTCTTCACAGAAAATCATATCAATGATATGACATCGTTCACGAGTCAATCAAGCATTTAGGAAAATACAAAAAGCAAAGGAAGAAGCAGATGCCTGATGCATCTGAGCACAAGCTGAACTGGGGTATTCAGATCAAACGATCTGATCAGACTCCTATTAAATCAGTCCACAGAAAATGGCAAACACTTCTGGCTAACAGAGAGAACCAAATCAACCTTTTCACTGGATGTTATTACAGAATGATTTTTATACAACTAGCAAGAGAGTGCATAACGAGACAAATAGATGTTTAGGCCAGAGACATCATTATATCTACTCTGGCCTCTTGTATCATACAAGCCACAGAGCTGCCTCTAATTCCTTCTGAATTGTGCTCAAAAACATGTGCTTGACAAAGAATGTCTTCCAGGAAAGTGTCCAATCTTGATTAAAAGACATCAAAGTTCTTGTTATGCCCTTCTCTTGATTATAGAGCCCTTTAATACATGATATTTTCTTCCCAACAACATACTTATACACTGTAATCAAGACCACATAATCAACCAGCTATGGACTAAACATAGCAAATTAGTAGCTATTTTGAGTGAAACCCTGGCTCACCTGAAGTCAATTGCAACACTGTCATTGACTTCTTCCTAGCTATGATTGCATCCTTTATACTTCAGTTGTTAATCTTTTTCTTCACC